GAGAAACATTTAACTTAGGCACGTAGCACACACCATTGAAGAAGCTTTACACTGTATGTATAGTTACAATATACATAGGTGTTAACAACAACCATTTTCTTTCCAACTGAATAAAAATTATATCTAAAAAGAGAAAGAGAGTAAGGAAAATTAAAAAAAAAAACGAGATAATAAAATAAAAGTAGACGCGATATTTTTCGGAAGTGTAGAACCTGTTGTTTGCGTTGGTCGACTGCGAAATTTCAATTACGCGTATGCCAGGTCTGATTCGATTATCGAGGACGGATTGATTACCGATTCAATTGTTGCGACGAGTGCACCGAGGAATTCGTTTCTATTTGCAGGAAGCATGCGAACACGACCGATGCATCTATTATGCAACGCGTTCTCGGACTCCTATCTATGGCCATGATGGCGCTTTGGTGTCCTATTGCCAATGGGGTAGGAACATTTAATCCCTATTCTCATTTCTATTCTTCTTTAACCCTCTATAAGGTTTCACCTTTCGTGTGATTTTAAAGTCACATACCGACATAATATTCTTCTTCTATTTGATTCATTTTTTGTGATTAATTGATTTTTTAATCTTTAATTTCTCCTAACGTGGAGTACATGCATTATTCTATTATCTTTCTTTGATAATTGATAAAATTTGATGTTTGAATAAATCTAATATTAATTTTTATTCAAGGGGTTGATAAGTTACGTTACATTTTTTTATAGTCATGAAAAAAAAATTCGGACAATAAACGGGTTAATCACGAATATCTCTGCTAAAAAGCATTTAAAATTATCGCGTGACTTTGTCCATGTTTTTTCTATTATCTTTCTTACTCATCTAACTTATACTTGGCATATATTTACATACATTACACCGTAGACATTTTAATCGAATTACAGAAAAAACCACTAAAATTAAATGATAATATAAAAAAACATTACAATATTCTGTTTTTTATTTAATAATTACTGTGCACGTGTGAACACACATTATCTGTCAACAGCTGTTGAACAGTTTTTTAATAGGTACCCAAAAAATAGTATTTTCTAATTATAGGAATATTGGTTTATCTGATCAGGAATAAAATCAAGTAAAATCATTAAAAAATTGATCGATTGATTTATAATATTTACTATGAAATAAAGTTGGAAACATAAGAAATGATTACTTTTCATAGTACATTCTGTTTACACGTCTACTAAATGCCATATCCTGAAACGAAAGGAAACGAACGCTCCCTTATCATTTTCGTCTATTTCGTACTTTATCTTTTTCCATTACTTTTTTTTTTCCATACTCTTTCTCTCTCGGTATGATCGTTCGCGCGTGTCGTTTCCACCCCCTATTTTTTTTTTTATTTCACGGCAACGTTAACTGTCTCTCTCGAGGCGCTTAAACGACGTAATGCGGCAATTTTGTTAGGCGCTACCAGGAAATCAGCGGAGATGCGAGAACGGATAGTGGTGGGCTCTTGTCCATAATGGCCATTAAGCGGTCTTTCCGCGATAATTACTGTCAGCCGTGTGCCAGTGTTTCGTTGAAAAGAAGTGCTGACTCTCGGATGGCGCACTTTTCGCCGAATGGCTATGGGATTCGAACTAAAAAAAAAAAAAAAGAAAGAATTGAAATGAGGAAGTGTGAAATGGGGGGTGGGAGTGGGAGGCTTTTACTATTCAAATGATGGTGATATTAACCCCCGACCCCTTTATCATCTATTTTATCAGCTATCAACAAATTTCTCACACGATTAATACTTCAACTTGTGTATTAATAAAAAAAAAACCGATTTATCATATCATTTTTTATAAATCATGTATTTATTTTTTTAAATAATTCTAAAATATATTTTACAAATACTTACCTTATGAGTAAAATCGAATATAAATCAACGATCGATACGAAACATGATCTTTGCCATTCTGTTTTACCTACAATCGATAATTCAGAAATTCTCTTTACGAAAAATCGGTTGTCATGTAACATCTGTAGGTAAAACAAACAAGGATATAAATCGTGATCGTTGAAGATCTAAATGAATACGAAATATTATGAAGAGAAGAGTCGAAAGAAAGAAAAAAAAAAGCTCACTGTGGAAGAGAAAAAGAATTTGTAGTGGGGAGTGGCAAGACGATTACGAATTTCATGCAGGGTCAAACCAGATTCCAAGTTAATTGTGTTTCGGTCAACGTTGCCTACAACCTGTAGAAAAACTTTTCGATACATGTTTTTAAAAAATAATTTCAATTCAAATATTTTAATAATATCGATATAAATAAAATACGTTGATAATAAAATCCCCAATAATTATTTTTCTGTCGTATAATTTTGATTGTTTTACCATAAGTAAAAGACGGGATAGTTGAGAGAAAAATGATGTCCTGAAACTCTTGGTAGGAAAAGCTTAGGAATGAGAGAAGTCGCGTTGGTTGGTTGGTTGGTACGACAGAGAGGATAAAAGAAAGAGGCGCGATATCTTTGCCTGGAGGAAACTGCAGGGACCGCATTGCGCCAAGATCGCGCATTCGTCCGTGGCGAGACCGCAAACCACGCGCATTTTACTTCAAAGGTAGAAAACTTTTTGAGGAGAGCCGTATCCTGTTTCTTCGTGCGTTAAGTAACGGAACGTAGGCAAAGACTAGAAAGAAGACAAAGAATAGAAAAAAGAAAGCAAAAAGGAGTAAGAAAGAAAGAATAAATGAAAGAAAGAAGGAAAGATAGAACTCAGGAGTCTGAGGAATAAGGGAAAGAGAGAAAGAGTACAGGAAAGAAAGATCCTGCATTATTTTCCATGGTATAACTCATGAATCGGATAGAGAAGAAACAAAAGAGAAGAAGAAGAAGAAGCAAAAAAAAAGGGAAAATAAACAGAACGGGTTGGGGTTGGTAGGGCGAGGAGGAGAAGAAGTGGGGGTTAAAACGAGCTGGATATAAAAACGATGACAGAGGAATTTCGAAAGAATTCAAAGTACGTGAAAGATCGTATGATCGAGATCTCGAAGGAAACTCGCTGTTGATCATTCTCTTTCTCTCTCTTTCTCTCTCTTTCTCTCTTCCTTTCTCTCTTTCTCTTACAATTAAAGAAGAAGAAGAAGAAGAAGGAGTCTCGAAGATCCCTTTTGATCGTGCGATCCGTGCACCAAAGTAGAGGATCTGGCAACAACGTGAGGTAGAAGGATCTTGTGGGAGAACGTGGGCCAAGATAAAGAGAGAAACAGAAAGAGGAAGAGAAAGAAAAGGATATATAAGAGAAGGAGTAAAGGAATGAAAGGAACAGGTAAGCGAGAAGGAAGGTGAACCTTGAGTAAGAAAAGGAAAGAGGAAGCAGGTGAAAGAGAGATAGGAGAATGAGGGGAAAGCGGGGGTAGAAGGTGGAAGAAGAAACGGCGGGCAAGCAAGCAAGCAAAACCCTGGTCCAGAGAATCGTAAAACTCGACTCGCACTTGAGGAATATCTCGCGCTAAAGTTTGAAACTTCCGTTTGGGGAAAAAAAATATAAATAAAAAAAATTTCTTTTTTCTATTTCGAATAGTTACGCTTACGACAAAAGACGACTACTATAGTTTTAGTTTTTACAACTACAGTTTTCTTCTTTACCTGAGAACTCTGGTCTCCTACTACCGCGAAATAACGACACGTCGAACTTTGAGAAAACAAGGAACGTTGAGTTGTTGTAAGAAAGAAAGAGATAAAAGAGGAGTGTGTGAAAGAGAACGAGAGAGAGAGAGAGAGAGAGAGAGAGAAAGAGAGGGACTGAGAAAGAGAGTGTAGGATGCCGTCGAACGACTCGGACATAGTGGCTCGCGTGCAACGATAATATTCGCCCACGTGTGTATGAACTGTGTGAATCGTGTATATATATACATTTACATATATATTTCCTATATTACTAGAAAATCTATACAAGTGATCACGAAAGAGCTTTCATATTTAATCTCATCAATTTATTTTCTGTTGTTTATCTTTTTGTGTGACCATCGTTAACTTTCATATAGTATTTGTAAGTGTAAAATTATTTTTATTATAGTAATTATATATCGTTATTACTAATATTATTAGTTTTGTAATACGAAGAGAGAGAGAGTAGAAATATATTATTAATTTATTTATATATTTGTCTAAATCTCAAAATACTTCTCTCTCTCTCTCTCTCTCTCTATCTCTCTCTCTATTTCTCTCTCTCTATCTCTCTCTCTGTGTTTGTGTGTATGTGTGTGTATACGAATAAACATAAGCACAACAAGAACGTGCCTTCTCTGCGGTCGAGTTTGAATAAATTCCTACAGACGAAGAGAAGTCACTAGTCGTCGTGTGTTAGCGTATGTGAATTCGTGTGCGTTTGTACGTGCAGGAGTGAATGTGTGTTTGTGTATATGCATGTTAACTGTGTTTACAAAATTAGGAGCTAGGGTATATACGGTAGAATTAATTCTAGCGTACATTTGAGTTTATGGAAAACAATGATTTATCTTAGTTTACTTTCAAATTATCTATCAATTTTGTTATAATAACATTTATTCATGAGAATTTTCAAACAAGTGAAATCTATAAGGATCTACGAACAAAATATTTGCAGAATTAATAACAGTTTAGGAATTTGAGAAAAAATGAAACGAACGAATACGTCTGATATTAAAATTAAATAAAATTTGAACTTAATTTCAAATTGGCTAATAAATAATTCAAAAAACCCACAAAAGTAAATAGAAAATAGCAGTAATATTGAATATAGATTTTAAATGGTAAACTTATCAAAAGTTTATACCTGTTTGTACAGAAACCGGTATCAGACACAAATCGGTATTTAATAAAAGTTTAATCTTTAACAATTAATATAATGCAGATTTCAATTAATTTGTTACCGCTACAAATAAAAGAAATAAATCGATATTAAAAACGATAATAACAAATTATATATATAAATATAAGATAACATTTCGAGTATAGAATTAAAATAAAAAATTAAAAGGTTGTTAAAAATTGACAGGGTGGTGGGTTTAGTGTTAAAGGTTTCGCAAATTCGTTGTCGGCGAGCGGTTTACGAGAACAATCGGAGCTTGACGCGTTCGAAAACTACAAAAGCCGAACTAATTAAAAGGGAATCAGTCGTGGAACCGTTAACACCGACTGAAAATTCAGATCGAGTTGGACTCATCGCTAGGCCGCACGACGACTGGCCGGCCAATGACGCGTCTCCTGCACCACCATAGCGACGCAAATCAAATATTAATCGTGCAATTAGCGCCGATTGTACTTTAATCGGTGTTGCTTTTTTAACCCCCTTTCCATTACATGCCCACCCTACTGGTTCCCCTACCTCTACCCCTCCCCCTCCTATTACAAACTTCTCTTTATCCTTCTCCCTCTAACTATGCATGCTTTTCTTCGAACCTTGCAAGCTTGCAAAACGTTTGACATCGTTGCAACCAAACGCATCCGACAAAATATTCGACTCGATATGACATATATATACTATACATCTATATTTGTGTTTGTGTATAATTCGTAGAATGTACATGCGTGATAGAAGAACAGGATACGCCTCGTCACCTCCATTAATATCAAATTATAAGCAAATTGCATGAGCTAACGGAACAATGCATCAAAATATGAAAACTCTAACTCTCAAATAGTATGCAATTTTCCTTACAAGTCTTGTCTAATAATTTTAAAAAAGAAATAAAACAATAACAGCTTAATAACGAACACCAAATCGTTTGAAATTTTTCTTATATTTTACGGCAAAATTGAAATCATTTAAAATTGCTCCCCAGCTAATCTGATCTAATTACTAAAAAATGAACAATCTCCAAAAGTAATGATAAAAATATGAAGAAAATTAATGCATACAAATGAATAACGTGCAGGCAATGGTAAGCAGGGCCGTTACTATGGGGGCGGTGCCAGGTGCCGCCGGAGTTTCCGGTGAGGCTGGTTTGGCCGGTGTACCTAGACTTTTGGAAGATTTAGCAAGACTATCCGAGGACAAGGACACTGCTGACATCGTATTCCTTTTGGGTAGAGACGAGACGCCGGTTTATGCGCACAGAATCATACTACAAGCAAGGTTGGTTGGTCGTTTGTTTTTTCCATGCATACATAAAACTAATCCTTTATCGAATAATAATAATAATAATAATAATAATAATAATAATAATAATAATAATAATAATAATAATAATAATAATAATAATAATAATANATAATAATAATAATAATAATAATAATAATAATAATAATAATAATAATAATAATAATAATAATAATAATAATAATAACAATAATAATGATAATATAAGAGCTTATATTTAACCAATTAGAACATTTTATTATTAGATTTAAAATGAGAAGAAATATTATAAGAGCTTTTATATTCCACTCACAAAGAACATTTTATTATTACATTTAGAAACATTTTTCAAACGATTCGGGTAGATAGGTAGTTAGATAGGTAGGGTTGGTGTACCAAACCCAAAGAGCGAATTTTCATTAAAAAAAGCTCAAGCTCTCCTTGGCGAGGAAATTCAATTTGCACCAACGGTGAAACCAAAACGCGAGATTTTACCGTTTCTGTAGTTTTACACTCGGACGAGGTAAAAAAAAAAACAAGAAATTAAAACGAGAAATAACAAAACTATAATAATAATAATAATAATAATAATAATAATAATAATAATAATAATAATAATAATAATAATAATAGAATAAAAAAAAAGGAAGAAGAAGAAAAATGCTATTTCAGCAAACGAAATTAAACCTTTTTCTCTACGCGTACACTATTTACGCGCAAAATTTACGAGTTTACGAGTTTTGTATTGGATGAAAGTACACGTATCCTTCCCCTTCTCTCTCTTTTTCCCTCTTCTGTAAGCTATATCCAAAAAAAGAATATAGAAAAAGAAAAAAAGGTGAAAAATGTGGAAGAGAAGAGAGAAAAAGTATAAAATGAGAGAGTTGAGTGATATGAGTGTGCCTTTCCTGACGTAATGAGATCGGTTCTTTCCTCGTTTTCTCGTCATCGATATGTTTTCTCACGTTTAATATATATATATATATATATATACTAGATACTTGGCTACATCATATAACTGTAGAAACTCGTAGAAACAGAAATATCATGACCGTCCCTTAAGGAAAAGCTGATGTTAGTGGAAAAACGAATGAAAATCACGTTAAAATGAAGTAACGTGACGCGCCCGGGGAATGGATTTAATTGTTAATCGTAATTTTTATTAAAGCGACGAGTAAGTCTCGTCGATCGAGTCGCGAGATTTCCTTGGAGAATTCCTCTACGTAGCTGTGAAACAAAAGTGAAGGAAAAAAAATCAAGATAAACGATGAGATACACGACAGAATACGAAAGGCTGAGTGAAAGAGGAGATAAAGAGTGTGATGAAGATAGAAAAAAAAGGAGAAGAAAATGAGAGAGCTAAAAAGAGAGAGATAGAGGTATTAAAAGTGATAAAGATGATGATAAAAAAAAATTAGAGAGAAAGAGAGAGAGAGAATGAGGATAGATAGAAAATGGAGAGAATAAAATTGATAAAGATAGAATAAGACGAAGAATGAGGATGTTAGAAAGAGAAAGGATCAGTGAAATAGAGATAGAAATAGAAATAGAGTTTTAGATTGATATATATATAAGAACAAAGATCGAACAAAGTAAAGAAAAAATGAAATTTAAGTGAAATTTAAAGATAAAGTATGAAGATTCTTGAAATCTTTTGCCATCTCATAATTCACTCTTTGTTTAAAAATTGTAAATCATTGAAAATCGACAAATCTAAATCATTTTAAAATTGCATTAACGTATAATTAAATTAGCTTTGTAGGTTACTCGTAAGATAAAAAATTGTATTATCTCGATGCTATTGTCTTTTCATCGTTAATGCAAAGGCGCTATATCGCCGAGGAAAAACGTGTAGTGTGTCTGGAGTACATCCGTAAGTTATTGCCCATTTTTTCTCTTTTACTTTCTATCTTTATATTTCTCTCTTATGTTCTTTTCTCGTCCTTATGGAAAGCAGAAACCACGGTGCCTTGTTACTTAAAAGCGGCTAACTTACTTTGGGATAACTTCATTAGCAAGTTCCTTGCTACTGACAGAGTTGGTAGAATAGAAAGAAGAAGTAAAAAATAAAAAGAAAAAGATAAAAAGTAATATAAAACGGAGCAGAAAAGAAAAATCTGAGAGTGACGAGGTCTAGCCTAGAAAATGACTGGTGCTAATAACGAGGACAATAAAACCTAAGTTGATGATCATTTTTATGAACTATTGTAACGTCATTTGTGTCTAGAATGGTAATTTATTATAACTAAATTATTATCAGTTTAATCGAACACATTTATCAGTTCTATTATTCATATTTAAAATATTGCGAATTAATTACAAATAAATAGAATAAAATCAAACCTGTTGACTAATATCTTTAAACAAAATTTTAAACAACGTCTCATTGTGGTCCACTATCGTGGAAATAAATTGAAAAGTTATAAGAGATTTTAGTTTTTTATAAATTAAAATCTATAATAAAATGAAAATAAAAAACGAAAAAAAAGAACAGAATGAGAGAGAAAAGATAAAGAAAATGATTCAGGAGAAAAGTTTTGAACGTTAGACGTCGGCTCGAAGATGATTGGGGATGAATAGGAAAAAAAGCCGATTTTAGGTTCTTTCGAGGAAAAACTAATGAACGCACTAGTGATTATCGAAGGAGACTCGTACCAAACCAAAGTCATCGAACTTTCTTGATCGGTGTAAGCACGCGCGAATCTCGCTCGCCTGACTCGATGGATTTTAATTAAGGAGATCCGATTGTTACCGACGAAACGAATCGTCCGGCCGTTCTAATTAGTTGGACAATGAGAAAAACAGGGAAAGAGAATGAAAATGAGAAAAAAGAAAAAAGAAAAAAGAAAGAAAGAGAAAGATAGAGAAATGGCGGTACCTTTCCTTTTTCAGCGATCAGTTTCTCTCCTTCTCATCGTCTCGATGCACTCTCGAATCGAGGGAATTCTAATTATTGTAAGAAGGGATTGATATTTAGTCGAGAGAGAGAAGAAAAGGGATGGTTGTTGAAACGTCCAAGGGACTACCGAGCCGACCGGCCCGGCAGCCAGTTTTCCACAGAACAGAACGGCGCTAATTGTAAAGTCAATTACGATATTTCCGCGAACCCTTTTGATACCGGTATGGAAGGGACGAACAAGCTCTTTGTCATTCGTTCGTTCGTTCGTTCATTCGTTCGTTCGTTCATTCCTTCTTTCCTTGTCCTCCTCACCCTTGTTCCCTCCACTTATTCCTCCTTTCGCCCTCTTTTCGTCAGCCTTTCGGCCACCTAACGCCCTCCTTCTCTCGATCCCTTTTGTCAAAGCGATCCTCGGAAAATTAAGTTACGCATGCTCCTGACAGACGTCCGCGGAAGAAACGAATGGACAATACGCGACCGCACTCGAATTCTCATCGGCCCATTCTATTTCTCTCTTTCTCTTTTTTGTATCTACTGAAATCCAGCTAAAATCGTGTAATCTCTTCTCTTCTCTCTTATACTCATTCTTGTTATCTATCTATCTTTCTTCATCTTTCTCCTTATATCCCTCTAGAGTACCACTATCCTCGTTATATTTCTAAGGGCGAGAGAATATCACCTAGACAAGCCCTACAAAATACCATTGTGTCTTCTCTCTCCTAACGAAATATCATCATGTGTGGGGTGGGTCTGCTTTTCATATAACTTACAATTGTTTCTATCATTAAATCGGATTATAAATAATCGCGTTATTTCTCGTTATACGTGGAGCTGTTTGTTAAAACAGAGGAAAACGATTAAACTCTTATTTGAAGTATTGTTTATTACGATTTTATTATCAAAATACTCGATAGATGTACTTAACGATAGTAAATGAGAATAATTGTTATGTCTGTTAAATATTTAATGATGTTACAACAATGTAAATTATTGTATCGATTTTCTCTTTACTTTCTGTTCGAATTGTTTTCCACTCAAAATATTATGAATAATCATCTTTAAAATTACGAACCACAAGTTTGCAACCCCTCCCATTAATCTATAACAACTACAAAAACTAAACTAAACTAAACTAAAAGTTAGAAATCTTTCTAGATTCTATACCAACGCGACAAAAAAAAAGAAAAGAAGAAAAAAAAACAAAAGAAAAAGGTGTGACTAGGTGACTACAATGACGAACGCGAAAAACTAGAGGTGGTGCCAGCAACAACCATCAACGATGACATTTCTCTCTCTCTCTCTCTCTCTCTCTCGTAAAGAAGCAGAATTGTGAGAATGAGAGAACCTTCAAATAGAAAGAGAAAGAACTGGAAAAAGAGAGAGAAAAAAACAGAGACAGAAAGTGAGTGAGTGAGAGAGTGAGAGAGAAACCTCGTGCAACCGGAAACCAAAGCGGTTTTTGCACGTAGATCGACGGAGCCGCCATATAATCGCATGCTTGGTCGTTAGTAGCGGAGCCTGCGGCGACATTCAACCCTTGCCGACGTAAAACCAAGCACCAGCCACGACCCTCGTTTTCCCAGCCACGTCGTACCGCGCCTCGTGTGTTCCCTCCTTCCTTCCTACCCTCCCTCCCTCTCGTCTCTCTCTCTTTCTCTCTATCCTACTTGCTTCTACTAACCCTTTCCAAGTTGCGAAAATCACCCCCACCATACACCCTTACCCATTCCCTATCCCCCCATACCCTCATCCCCCACTCGCTTCTTCTAACACCTCTGACTTGCACCAGACTTTCTCTTTCTCTCTTTCTAACGTTAGTTTTTTTTTCTTTTTTTTCTTTTGCTTTTCACCTTCTTCTCTGTTCTCTCACGGTGATTTTTGGTTTTCTTTGATAGCAATGCTGCGGCAACGTTCGCTCGTGATTAGAGAACCACCCACCCCCATTTGTTTTTTTTTCTTCTTCTTCTTCTTGTTTTTTCCTTTTTTTGTTGTTCTTTTTTTGCTTTCTTTCTTTTTATTGCTTTTTCTTTCTCTCTCTCTCTCTCTTTTATTTTTTTTTTGACGTACGCCCGTCTTTTCCGTCAGCTTTGCGCAAAAAGCTCAGGGGCAAAAAAGGTACAGGAACAAGGAAGGTATGACGTGCGCGTTGTTTTAGATGCATTGTCTGATTTTTCCTCCTTCCTTTCCCATTTGTGCCACCCGCTAGCAGATCGTTAAATCTTACCCAAAATCATTAAGAAGGGTAGTGATGGTAGTGGTGGTGGTAGCAATGGTGGTGGCGGCTTACTCGAATGAGAAAATAAGGGGAAGTATTTATTGCTATAGTAAGAAAAAGGGAGGTTTTATTGGTTGCGACATAATATCAAATGACATGTGATAGATATAATCAAGTGTGAAGTAAATGAAACAATATCTAATACTAATTATTGTAATAAAAAGAAACAATTTATATTTATAAGCATTTATTTGTCATAAGAAAGATGAATTAATGAAAAATTATTTGATGCAATAATTGATTAGAGAAACACAATACTCATAATTTGATTATACAAAACAATGCTGAACTATTACACAATTGTGTTGAACAGTAAATCTAATCATGAAGAGGTGGTCCTCTTACAGATGTTCAACCTAGTTTAATCTAAACTCTCAACGGATGAGAGAGAAGGATTGTATTTGTATCTCATTTGTCACAAGAGATGATATCCTACGCAATAACATTTGTAGAACTACGTTCCAATTAAAGATCAGAGAAACGAGTTTCCCTTTGAGTCAAAAGTGAATTGACCTAGTAATTTGTTCGATGAAAATTCGTATGAAGAGAACATGATTATTATTCAATCGGATAGCCGCTAATTAGCCTATTATGTAATCGCTTCTCTACTAATACTATTGATGATGTTTTCACTGAAGTGAATGAGTAGTAGTGGTAGCGGTTGGTTCTCTCTCGTAGGAGTTTTAGGGAAAACACCTCGATGCTAAATTTAGAACACTCGGAAACGACACAGGAACGACAGAATGGAATTTCAAACCGGTTCGGACTAATTCGAGCGAATGCCGATCTTTCGATTACGCGAACCTTTGAATGTCTGTATATAGTATAACGATTCTGTTTTATATGTGCTAGTTTCTCATTTTTATGTGTATATACATATATATACGTAATGTATATATCACAGATATTGGAAAATGCTTGAGCTTTAGTTAAACCGGTTGAACAGCAACCTAATGAAGCGTTTCTATCAAAGTAAATAGGCCAAACGTTATAGTTACATATACATATACTATGTAATCTGTGGTAAAGCTTCCGAAAATAGTAAACGTATATAGAACGTTTCATTAAACATTCTATATCCTATGGAATATTCTAAGTATACTATATGTGTATACAGTATTGTTACACATTGTTATGTATAGAATATCGATTTATATATTAATAAAAAAAAGAAGCAAGACGATACAATACGTGTTAAAATTTTTGCAACGATTTTAAAGAGAAGAGAAGAAAATTCGTGGATGAAAATTTTGCAAACGATCGAAAGTACTCAAAGTGTATACCACCTATACACTCTCGTTTGTAGACGCTTAATAGTAAATTCATCTACAAGAGGAAACAAAGGTGAAAATAAAAAACAGAGTTTCTGGTATGGATAAAAAGAAATAGAAAAAGGGAAAAAGAAAATCAAGGAAAGAGAGTATGTATACAGGGAACATACATGAGATGCACACAAGGAGGAACGTTTGATATTTTATTTTGCTTCTCGTCAACGTCGATTCGACGAGGGTCGCACGCTTTTCCAGCAGAGAACATTTTCCACGATTTCTTCTCGACTACGACGTCGTCGTCGTCGTCATCGTCGTCGTCGTCAGGGCGACGCTCGGGTGTACGTCGGTATAATATCAAAGCCTCTTCCATTTGCGTTCGTCGGCTCTTTGACACATTTTCTTTTGATTCGATACGCGCGAGAGGCACGCTTTACGTGCTTCAAGAGGGAACCACCCTACCACCCCCTCACCTTACCCCTTTCCCCCCTGTTTTCTCTCTTTCTTTCTCTGCAACCCTCCTTCTTCTTCTTCTTCTTCTCATTCTTCCTACGTCACAGCTACCAACATCGTCAAAGTCACGAGACCATGGTCGTCGTAGTAGTGGACGTCGACTCCTGAAAGCTACGCTTAACGACTCGTCCGTTTTTGCTACCCCGATCTCCGACTTTTTCATTCCTTTCCTCTCCCAACCTTTCTTTCCCTTCTCCTCATTTTAACCCTCGCCCTCCCCACTTTTCCCTCTACTTCTTCTACTCCACCTACATCACCACTTTGGTGAATGTCTCTAATTGAAAAACGGCCCGTTTTTCCTCTACTACCAACATACATCCTTTCTTTCTTTCTTTCTTTATTTGTCTTTCTTTCATCCTTTCTTCCTTTTTTTTTCTTTCTTTCGTTACACGACATTCCACGGTGTAAATTCAATTTCGATTTGATGCACATACTCTCTTTTTATCTTTCTTTCTTTCTTTATTTTCTTCTTTTTTGTTTTTTATCTTTCATTCTGTCTATGTTTAACTCTCGGTACACGGTGTCCTCGGGAAAGGGCCTGGTCGACTGGTTTCAGGGTGCGTCGTTGTGCTCCATTTAACACACGGGCACTATGACTCCTTCCGTACGAGAGAATATTTCTCGTGCCGTTGACTTTACTACCAAGCAAATATTTACCACTCGTTTAATAATAATTTCACAAATTTTATTTCTTTTAATATTTGTAGTGTATAACCAAACATACTTTAAAAAAAAATATATACATATATATATTTCTATAGAAAAATCAATCAAATCTATTCCTTCTTCTTTGAACGAAAAGAAAAAAGTTTCCACTCAAAAAAGTTGTTTGCTCGCATTCCAGACGATCAAAGTCTTCAATTTATGATACACAAAAATGATTAAAGAAAAATATTTCTGTTGAAAAATCAATAGATGCGATACTTTAAAAAATCCCATCCCTTTTTTTTCCTTAAAACGAAACGCAAAGTTACAAAGCAAAATGAGATGCATGTATCACACCCTAGAAAACGATCAAAGTCAGTCGTGATACCGAAGATTGTAATAGATTAGAAAAATATTTTTTTCTGTTGAAAAGTCAATACCTCTTTGAGAATTTTTTCTTTTTTTTTTTTCAATATGAAACTCAAAGTTTCAATGCAAGAAAAAAAGTTGCATGTTCACACCCTAGACGATTAGAATCAACGTGATCGTGAAGTTCCTTTACTCTCGTCAGCATCCTCTCGTTTTTCCTCGATAGTAGACGAAAGGGGGTAAAGAAAAGACGGAGACTAAGAGAAAGTGAGAGAGAGTAGTAGTAGTAGTAACAAGTAAGAAGAAAGATAAAGATAGATAGACAGATAGATAGAGAAAGAGAAGAGAAGAGTGAGAGAGCAAGAGAGATGAGACTTTTCGAAGGTTGCCATTAATTTCTAGGGGAACGGAAACTAAAGCCAGTGCGCCGTATGTTAGTTACGTATTCTCCCGCGGCAACGGAGCTTCCTGACGAAGTCAATTAAGCTCTTTTGTGACGAGGAGAAGCAGCAGCAGCAGAAGTGCTGGAGACTCCGACGGCCCGGAGTGGATGGCGTTCGTTACAAGAACTACCCCTCGAACAGCCACATTTATGCTCCCACGAAACTCGAAATATCGGCATTCACCCCTCTTTCTCTCCCCCTCTCTCATTTCAGTTGACTCTTTCTACTATCTTCATCTTCTTCTTTTTATTTTCATCCTTCTTTGCCAACTGTAATATCACTATCTTATTATTCTATGATCAATCCAATGAACTTTTGTGGTGCACAGGTGCAAGAATTTCGCAGCCGCTAAAAGGATTGGCACGCCTGGAAACCCGACACCCGTTAGAATGCCACACGCTCATCCGGAAACCTTCAGGCAGTTCATTCATTACATCTATACCGGCAAAGTAAGAAGAACCTTCATTTTCATTGATGAATAATATCTTTATTATGAAAGTAGAATGTACATTCTATATAATTTTATTACATTGTATTCAATTTTGATTTTTATTCTTTTACGAATGAATTAAGTAATCATACAAAACGTTTATTTCGTTGACAAAATAATCATTATTATTAAATCATTAAATAGGTATATGTACATACCACTCCTTATTTCTATATCTTTGTAATTACATTCAGTTTTGATATATTTTTAACGAAAGATTAAAACATGATAGAAAATGTTGATTTTACTGAATAATAATAATAATAATAATAATAATAATTATTATTATTATTATTATTATTATTATTACTAAACCAACGAATAGGAAACTAAAATGTATATGTTATGGTTTAAATGAATAATATGGGAAATTGTGAAAGTGGAGCAGTGTAATAAATTTCAGCGTTAGGATTATACCTCTTTTGAAATTAGTATTTGTAATAAATATAATTTATTACTATGTCCGATATCGTTTATCATTATTCATAATATCTATATTAATCATCTAGTTTACAACATATAAATATATATATGTATGAATGATTAAATTGCAGTATTCTAATTTTAGATTGTGCCTCAAAACGTCGATTTAAACGACTAATAATAATTATTATTATTAAGCCAACGAAATAAACCAACGAATATGTTATGAGTTTTGAGATTAATATGAGTATTACGAAAATCTAGTATTGCTATAAATTCCAATATTAGGATTATGTCTTTGTAAATAGTTTTATACAATAGATTTATTATATTGTTCTTTTATAAATCATTTAAGTCATAACATATAATTTATATGTAATGATAAAAATATCTTACGGTTAGTTTGCATTAATTTGTTTAATTTTCTATGAAATAATTAGATCATGCTACAAGATAGTGGAATATTCGAGATGTTAGGTCTTGCTCAAGAACTCGGTGTCGAGGAACTTTGGAGGAGTTGCGAGGAACACGTATCGGCCACACTAAGTCCTGGAAATGCATGTGCCCTTTTGACCGCAGCTTTGGATGCCCAGGAACGAGTACCAGGTAAGTTGATCGATCTTTTCAATTTGCAGAATTTTGTTTGATTTTTCTCGTCAAATTTAAACTACTACTTTTTAATTTAGTAAATACTGTCAATCTTTCTATAACACGATTAAATTCATGTGTGTTCTATCAAAACAATTTGAAATGAAACCTAAATATATGATACTACAGATCAATAGAATTAAATTTGTGTTGTTGAAATTGTTAGAGTTGTATTGTAAAGAAATCGTGTTATAAATTGTCGCCATTTTTGCTATATGTTTTTAGAGTATCGTGTTATTAAAGGGTTGATTGTGTATAAATTATACTAAATTCTTTCTTTTTCTTTTATGAAAGTATTAAGTAGAAACTTCGTAGAAAATAAAGAGAACAGAAAAGAAATACGTTTCCGGTATAAATACACGCGCGTGACGTCGTAAACACTTGTGTGACACTTCTCAACTATCATCGATCTTCATTATTTTAATTTTGATACACGCTCTCCCTAATTTTTTTATACGTCTTTTCCTACGCTTTCCCTTTTAATCGATTCTCGCGATTCCACCTTCTACGATAAAAGGGGAGATTTTATCCAGTATCATTAGTTATACACTTTTTATTTATTACCCTGATGTCAGTGTCAGCCATTTGGTATATGTCCAAAGTCGATTAATAATATAACGATCATTTTAATTTTAAATTGTTCATCATTACAATGGATTATATATCTTTAAATAATTTAAATAATTGAGATAACTATAGTTATTCATTCATTATTTTATTTATTATTTAATATTTTAATAAATCTAACTTATATAAATATATATTTATTATTATTTATCCTCTTGTTGCATTATTTTATCGGTAATATAGAAAATGTTCTTACCAACACGCGGCAGCACTATTCAAATCTAATTTAATACTAAAATTATTATTATTTTATTTATAACAAAAATTTTAAATATAAATTAAATTGTTCTTTTTTTATAATTGCAAATAAATAATCGAAAATTTTGATAAAAATTTTCATTCTAAAATAGGGAATTTTTGTACTCATTGGTTGGTACTGCTATGAAGTTTCTTTGGTTGGTAAGCCCTAAAACGCCACAATTAGCGGCGTTTCACGTTTTCACGAAGAAAACAAGTACGTTTAAAGTATTTTGCATCGTAATTTTTTGAAAAACAAGGTTAAGAATGTCGTACAAAGGACCACAAAAGGTTCAAAAGGTTATGGTACAACCCATAAACCTTATATTTCGATATTTGCAAAATCGGTCACGGGTACAAGTTTGGCTTTTCGAAAACATTCATCTGAGGATCGAGGGTCACATTGTCGGCTTTGATGAATACATGAATTTAGTTTTGGATGATGCCGAGGAATATCATTTGAAGACGAAAAACAGAAAACCACTTGGACGTATAATGTTAAAAGGAGATAATATAACGTTAATTCAAAATACTAATCCTACTGCTAATTGAATTGAAGAAGTTAACCTCAAAAAAAAGGGCATTTGTATGTCATACATTTAAGCACAAGATCTACTGCAAGTGTCCTTCACTGATCAACATCAAGAAGATAAAATATGTGCATTATAAATGATTATGATATTATAGTGCGACTCAGGGACATACTTAGGACAAAAATATTGAAATCTTAAAAAAGGGAGAACTTAATGTCTATCTTGCTCTATGATTGACGCTACAACAATTCATTCATCGACTCATCTTTACTTTTTTTAATTAAACTGTTTAATGTTCTTCCTAATGTGGTATGCATTTTAACATACTGCACGTACTAAAATTATAAACTAAAAATATGTACTATGAATGTCTACTGTGAATGTTATTATAAATCTATGGAATTTCTAAAATTCTTTTTTTAATTGGATTAAATTGCGTTTATTTGAACAAATATAAAATATTGTAAATTTCATTTAAACAAGGATTATTAAAAAAAATGTTTTGATCTTAACATAACCTATGGCTTATCTTCTTCTTTTGTTGTAACTTTTTATATTATTTTATCTTTATACATACCTTTTCTTTGAATAATGTAATCCAGTATGTTAAACTGTGTTACATAAATATCAATAAAATATTATAACATAATGTACACTTAAAAGATCTTGATTTATTTTTAATTCACCGCATTACATTTAATTATAAAATAAAATAATATAGTTTAATAGTACAAAAAGAAATATTATCTTCCCTGTAGTTGAAATTTATTTTCTAGGTGGGAAAGGTGCTTGTTCATCCTTTATCGAGAGATGTTTTGCATTTATCGGAGAAAATGCAGTGGATACGGTAAAAACAACAGCATTTTGTAATCTTCCAAAAGATGCCCTTGTCAAATTGATATCTTCTGACTATCTTGGCTTAGAAGAGGAAGATGTATGGAGAGCAGTATTGAACTGGGCCAAGTATCAGGTTCTTATATTTATAAAATTATTATTCCGTTTCCGAGCAAATTGTATCCCTTGAATTCGAGAACAAATTATACGTTCTGATAGTACGTATGGCGTGCAAGGTCTTAGACCTTATATCGCATACATTATCGGGTCCTTGGCTCCTTAGGTTCTTGGATCGGAATTTAGAATTACGAGTTAAGGAACGCTTAACCGTACGGACCACGCTCCTAGGCAGGGGTGACGCAGCCTACACAACATTGGACCGAAGAGGAACGAGTGAGGGTCTGCCAACATTTGTCCGGAGTAATAAATCATGTTCGTCTACTACTCATCGATAGCCAGGTCTTTGCGGAAGAAGTTGAACCAACTGGAGCTGTACCAATTGAATTATCTTTGGAAAGGTATAAATGTTTTAATTCTAATTACTGAAATAACTTGAAATATTTATCATTATTATAAATCTTTATTTTGCTTTAGATACAGATATGCAGCACTACCAAGCAAGTATGCAGAAATTTGTTCGGATAAGAGATTACAACCGAGAGTAAGTCCTTTTCTATTTCCTGGATCACAAATTCTATCAAGAGACAAGATAGGATATCAACGATTATTGAATCAGTGGTATGGTTCACCTAAACAAAGTTGGCGTTTGATTTATAGGTAAGTAAATGAAATCTTTCTAAAGATATTAAAAGAATTTAACTAAATTTAATTATATTATTTTCAGAGCTTCTGGTCATGGCTATTCTGCAACCTCTTTTCATCGTCATTGTGATGGTATTTCTCCAACATATGTAATAGCATTAGTAAGTTTAGTATTTTACATATTTCTATGTTCTACAAAGTATATTATAATAAACATTTATTTAATTATAGGGAACACGTGGAGAAATATGCGGTGGATTTAGTGACGCACCATGGGGTAAAACTAACGCTAAAGGACACTATATTTCATCGGAAAAAGCTTTTCTATTTACATTAACTAATAATCAGGATATACCTCCAACCAAATATGAAATTGTTAAAAAGCCCTTTGCTATCTATTATCATCCTGAGTGAGATATAATTATTTTGATATATTCTTAACTTTAAATTCATTTTATATTTTTAATTGAATCAGATATTTAATGTACATCTTTGTTTTTTATCACAGCATAGGACCCATATTCGGTGCAGGTGCAGATCTATTAATATCCAGTAACTGTAACGTAAACATGGAAAGTTACAGTAATCTTCCTCACAGTTATGATGGAGAAAATGCTTCGAACACAATACTCATGGGAGATTATCATTTTTCTGTAGTAGATTATGAGGTCTTTACACCTAGCCATCATACCCCTAAATCGAATCACTGATAATTCGTACGATATTTTGAAACATAGTACAATATTGTAAATACTCTGATTTACATGCTCTCTTATACAGACTGAGATTATTTTATACACGTAATGTAGTTTAATATTTTTCAATCATAGTACGTTAATGAAATATCTATCGGGATATCAAATACAATTATAATTCTATATTTTATACGATAACTAATAGAACAAATTGTATAATTCTAATGCTTTCTCGAAATTGATTTTTTTTAAATAAAATCAGTGTCTCAGAATGAGATAATTAAACAAATTGGATGATCATAGGTTATCGATAAATTTGATAAAATTATTTATACGAGCATTAAAAAAATTTATATAATGTAAAACGTTAATTTTTCGAAATTCGTCATATATTAAATAAAAAGAAAATTAAGTTGCCTTTTTTCTTCATACTATCAATTACTAAATATAAGATACTGAAAAATGATAGAATATACTTGAAAATAAGGAACATATTTGATTTCGTTTTGTTACGAACTTTTACTTACATTTTTCTTCTTTTTAGAGTTGATTTTTTAATGATGATTGCTGGTCACTATATATATGTTTATAATAAAAATTTGCATAAAGCTTATACTAATTAAGAGTGTATTTATATTGAAATAAATGATACGAACAAATTTGATTTGATAGAAGCTCTAAAATAACATCTTTAATCTAAATGAATAAAAACAAAATAAGATAAAATAAAAATCACAAGATTAATATGAATTTGATCAAATAATTTTCTATTACTCTATTCTTATCACGTTAAATGAAGAAACGAATTAAAATAAATAAGATCTATTTATTTTGAATATTAATCGTAAGAAATTAGTTTCCACTAAAAATATACTTTGTAAAATAATTTTTTAAAACATCTCAAAGTTTAAAGATGAGAAATTGTCGTTCGTTTAAGGACGAATGCAAAACAATATTTTCCAAATGGCGGCCAGTAAAATAAAGAGACACTGTAAACCTGTAAGAAACACGTTTCCGAACACGGGGACGTATATTTGAATTTCTCGAGCGTGCTTTTCGCACGTATCATACATGCATAAGTTAAACGCTTATACATCGTAACATACATATACGTATTTATATAGGTATCACAATAAAAAGGTCATTTCAAAATCGTAAAGTTTGCGAGCGAATGCAGACATGGCGAACGTGTAAAATAAAAAAAACGTCGAAGTGCCGCCAAAACTAATTGATACTCCAATGCAAATAGTTAATAATTTCTATGGTGTAGTCGGTATCTATTGAATTACGTATATGTATATTAATATACATGTGTGTATGTATATGATATATGTATATAATATACATGATGTATGTATATAATATACATGTGTATATGTATATGTGTATATATAATATACATGTATGTATGTATATGAACGTATTTGGCATATAGAATAATGCGTATGTGTGTATATGTGTATATGCAGTATCAGACTATGTACGCTCTCGTGCGCAGAGAGAATTTATATTTCGTTCTTCGGTATACGTTGAATATTCATGGTACAGTATTATGAGTTTAACATGCTCATCTTCGCCGTGGGCTTTACTATATTATCTATTTATGTCCGTAACCTTTTCATAAATTTGCACGCAACCTTGTAATTTCGCCTCTGTCTTTCAAGAAATCTACGTTGAGATGAGAAAGATTTTTTTTTCTTTTATCTCTCTTTCTTTTTTATCTTAATATTTCTCTCTCTCTCTTTTTTTTATACTTATAATACACGTACACTTCGTATTGATCCTTCTCTTTTGAACGAATAACAAAATAAATAAAAATATGAAATTGAGTATTAAAAAATGAAATGAAAGATAATAATAAGATATTTTTTTCTCATCAGCTGAAAGGTGAACGTCCTTCTACACTTGCTTTGACATTCTTTCACTGACAATATACTTAGTTTCATTGTCAATAGTAGAAATAAAACGAGACGTGATTGGCGGACACTCAAAGTTGCAGAATACAAGTAACATAGTATAGTAAAACCTTCAGTAGATGTATATATTTGAATTAAAAGGAAAACATAATCGTTTGGATGAAAGAATTTTTTTTATATATTAAAAAAACTGAATGCATTTAATATTCAATGAATTTACTTTTTTACTTTGTGGTTCCATCAGTTTTATTTGTAAAAAGAGACCACAATGTTCTTTAATTTGTTCTTACTAATATTGTCAAATACTGAAGGTTCCACTGTATATGTATTATATGGGTATATATATAACGAACGTCACCATATTGATGTAATAATAATCTGTTTTATTATAATAATACTTAAAAAATAATATCATAGAAGAAGCGAACTTTGCATTAGTTTTTGTTCTCTTTCTTCTTTCTCTTTCGAATTGAATCTAGCCTTCGATGGTTTTACAAAATAAATGTATGCACATATACATACACATATTTATTATTTTTATGTCCATATATATATTTACTTACTTATATACATGCATTTATACATACGCACCGTTGATTTGGTCATTTATTTACACTTTTGTCCCTGCCTAATTAATTATAAACGAATACATTAATCTAGGATTGCACGTATTTTTTCGGTATTTTACGAATTACATATGAATTCATTTCTTCTCTATTATTTATCTTACAATTAATTGTAAATAAAAAAAAATAGTAATAAGAAAAAAGTAGTAAGATAGAAAGTAAAGGGAAGAAAAAACAGAGGGTGAAAACACATGAAAAAGAAATAAGAAAACGAAATGGGTCAGGAAGATTACAAATGGTTTTAATTCGTTATTATTAAATTTGTTTTAGAGAAAATTAAATTATAATATTTGCAAAATACTGTTTTGGATGATATATGTTATTCAATGAATGATTGATCATGACATTTATTGTTCTTCCATACACACACAATTAATTTTAATTTTAATTTAAGCAATGAAAAAATAATTCGATTATACAATGTTTGATTTAAGAAGAAAAATTTTGTTTTTTAAAAATTGATATAAATAATTACATACGAATTATTTAATCATTCATTAAAAATCGTTAATACTTAAAAACCCCTATACACATTAAAACTGTTAATACACGTTGGCAGATAATTGAAAATTTAATGAAATCTACCAAACAATTTCATTTTTTTTTTCAAATTATTCATATTTCTTTATTTTACAATGTAATACCAACGTTCTTGTTTTATACTTTTATACTATTTTCCTGTTTCATCATTCGTTAATTTACAAAATGTTAAAAGATACATCGATGTTAAAAATGTACCACGAATCATGAAGCACAAAAATAGATAAATGCATTGAACAAATATTTTTAATTTGTATTAGGGGTGTTAAGCACATAAGAAAAAAAAAAAACTCGATGCAAAATTACGAAATTTCGATAATGTTGGATGCGAGTGAAAAAAAAAAGATTAAAAAAACTTATGCGCTTTTACGTATTTGTAAAAGGAATAAGATATTTACAATGATGATGAGACGATGAATATTAACGTAACAAAACGAAATCGATGAAATGAAATGATGAATAGAAAAAATGATAATAGAACTTGTAGGAAAAAAAAAAGAAAACAAAATTACAAATCAATATTATAACAGAGAAGAAGAAGAAGAAGATAATATAAAAAAAGGGTTTTGAAAAAAATTATGCCGCAAGAGAAGAAAAGGGGTACGTAGATAGACATTAAAAAAGAAAAAAAAAAAGAAAAACCACAGCCAAATCCATGGAATCGGAAGACACACATACACACGATGGTTGGTGAATCGTGAAAGCGATATCTTTGCTACCAACTCTCGAGTTTCTTGGATTCCAAGGATCATGACCGCTTTTTTTTTTTTACAATGATTCTCACTCTTTTCACTTCTCCTTAGCTTCGCAGGCCACACGAAGAACCGAGTTTAAAAGCGAATCTGTGTTTTCTACGTGACGCACCCTCATGCGCGACCGTATAAACCAGCCGGCAAAAGTATAGTCCAAGTTCGTACTTAAACACACACATATAAATATACATACATGCGTATGCACACGCACATATATATACATAAACAGTTAAAAAAATGTTAGCAATAGTAATTAATTTTTCATGGGATACATGAAATAATTATGCGAATGCTTATCGAGTTTCTATAGGAAAAACAACACAAATAGTTTATTCTTCTTCTTCTTCTTCATTTTGTCGATATTATGGTTGGTGATGGTCTTGGTCTTGGTGATGGTGGTGGTTGTGTTATGTTGTATTGTATTGTATTTGTAAGAAAGATCTTTCTTACTCCTTCATTCTTGTATTCTCTCTTTCTTTCTTTCTTTCATTCTTCCTTAGGTCTTTCATTCTCCATCCAACTCACGAGAGACGAAAACTTTACGGTCGGAGTTAAACATTGGCAGGCGTCGAACGGCGCTCGTAAGATAAAACGTTTACTAGACGTTCGACGCGTGTACGAGCGCATTGTAACGCGCGTTCCAAACACGTGTGCACCCCGCGGTTTTACGTGTTCATCCGGCGAATCCACGTGCACACAACACTTCCTTTTCGTCCCTTCACGTCCTAATCCTTTTCTTCCTTCTTCCTCCTTCTTTCTTTCCTTTCTTAACTAGTTTATTCTCTATTATTTTTTGTTTTTTGTTTATACCAATCAAAAGAAAGAGAGAGAGAGAAAGAACCCGAGATCGTTAATAAAAAGTTTAAATTTCTGTTATCTAAATAATAAATCGAATTGTCACGTTAACTCGAATTATTTTGTAGATAATTTTAGTTCTTTTATTGTGGACCATTATCTTGTCAAATCTATTGTATGTATGTGTGATGCTTGAGTAAAACGTTTGGTATATAATAATAATAATAATAATAATAATAATAATAATAATAATAATAATAATAATAATAATAATAATAATAATAATAATAATAATAATAATATTGGTATTAGAATAATGCAATTGATGGATCTCACGTTAGAAATCTTGTAGTTTTTTCTTTCGTTTGTATTTTTGATCTTTCTCTCTCTTTCTTTCTTTCTTTCTGTTTTTTTAATCTTTGTGTTTCTCTTTGTTTATATCTGCAGGTAACAGATAGAATCCATTGAGTAATTCAAATAGAAACGCGAATACAATTAAGTATAACACAGGGGTCCGTAGAATAAGTATCTTGTCAAAGTCCATTGAGTGCCGACAGCAATTTTCGATTTCACCGTTTTGCTTATGCTTAACTCTAAGCGTGTATTATTTCACACATACCGGCAGATTATAGTAGAATAGAACAATATGACCTTTCTCACGGTATAAGGAAAGATTTTCGGTAGACTAGAAAGAATAGAAATAGGGAAAGCGGAAGGGTGAAAGAAAGAAAGAAAGAAAGAGAGAGAGAGAGAGAGTTAGTGAATGAATGAAAAATGACAAATAAATTGTTCATAAACACTATTATGATAGGGTAAAGAAAAGCAGTATTCAGTTTTGTTTCTTTGACATTCCTCGAAAAGAAAAACTGGGTTTTGTCGAGTCATCGAAATATCATTAATTTTTCACGTTAAAAGCTAGAAATTTAAGATCTCGTAGTGAGATCGATAGGGGCAGGTTTTTTCTTCAAGGGTGGCCCATAACTGTCACTTTCTTCTTTAATATCTAACTCTTCATCTTCCTCGTTAGAATCGAGACTTGATTTCATTGATAGATCAATAGGAATATCCTGTGGTGTGAAATCAATGTCCATATCGGGTGACGAGGAGGTTGACGATTCTCGATCGGATTGGGATTTAATCGATCTTGGTGATGGACTGTCTCGCGTAGAACGTTGTTGTCTTTTTAACACTGTATCCAAATAATATCTTTTGTTGTAATTTTCGGTAGACGAATTGTTATCTTTCGTCGGCCGAACGTTTTGATTGTGTACGTCCCTATTATTATTATTGTTAGCAAAATTTTTGTAATCGGTGGTCATTGTTTCGGTGCCAAGTGTCGTTGATGATACGGTAACTGTTGTAGTAGTAGTCGTTGGTGGTTCTGGTATCGTTGATGACATTTCATCGTGTATTGGTGAATTGCTTTGAACGTTTGGCGAGGGACAGGTTTGCATCAAAGGATGCGAAGCACCATGCTGAGTACCGTAAAGGTGATAAGGTGGAAACATCGTCAGGCCTGGCGGTGGCAAAAAGGCTGGCTGGATTAGGGACATTCCACTGAGATGGAAACCAAATGGTAAGCTCATCATTTCTTTACCCAATGCTGAAAGTTCGGCAACAGAGTGTGATAAATGGGAATGCATTGGGCGGAAACCCGGATGCCCGGCATAAGATGCCCTTCTTTCAGATATTTCAACCGAACTATCGCTATTGTGTGATTCCGGGGAACTTATACTAGGAGATGTTGAATTCTTATAATCATCTAAGCCAAGTAACAGAGAATCTTCCTTTCTTTGGTTAGGATGTAGACCGACCGGTGGACTTATTGCTTTTCGTTGCTGTTGAGAAAGTTGAGGATTAACAGGCAAATTTTGAGGATAAAGAAGTTGTTGTTGAGCCTGTTGCTGTTGTTGAGGTTGTTGTTGGGCTTGCTGCTGCTGCTGTTGTTGTCTTTGTTGTTGTTGCTGTTGTTGTTGTTCTTGCAATAGACAATGAATCTTAAACCAATTTGATCGGCGTCCATAACGAGAACTCGATTTGGACATTCCAACCACTAAACATTTTCTTAAACGGCACGCCTTGCAAGCTGTACGGTTCTTCTTGTTTATCACGCATTCTCCACCATTTTTGCATTCAGAGATGCTGTTCAAGTTGTTGTACGATCTACCGAAAAATGACTGCGAACAGAAATAAAATATACAAGATTAAATATTGTTAATAAAATGTGATTATCCACTTTTTAATGGAAAGTGACCTATTAGAACGTGTTCTCATTATCTCATTCACGAGGAGTAAAATAGAAATGAAGATTAGCTCTCGATGGAGACAGAAAATGAAAACTGGGAGACTAATTAACTTATAATGCCGCAATTGTACGCGATTCCGAAACTATTTGTATATCTCGTGTCTCTAATTTTCAAGATATTTATATTTTTCTTATACTTATATTAATTATGACAATGAATTTAAACAACGATTGATAATTTTGGTTTGTTAGCGTCAAATCGATTTGTCGGAAAGATCGTCGATGTTTAGAAAAAAAAAAAGGCAGCGTTGTTAACTTTCGCTTTTTCTGTATACATATATATATGTACATATATACAGGTACATAGAAACGGTATGTTATTAATTGTTTCTGGTTCGTTTGTCCTGAAAACGAGCTCTTCCTGCGGCCCAGTGATCCCAATGCGCGCTTCGCCGAGACCCACGACGACGCAGCGGGTTGGCTTCGCGTTCCACTTGTCCTCTCAACTTACTTGTCGTTTCACTATCTTTATCTCTTTTTTTTTAGTAGTAATAGTAATAGTAGTGTTAGTAGTAGTATTAATAGTTCCTAGTTGTTGCAGTAGTAGTAAGTAGTGTAGTAATGTATAGTATGTATGTTAGTGTAAATAAACGTCATTTCTCTATCTCTGTTTTTTTAAATGTAATAGTAGTAGTAATAGTAGTGATAGTAGTAGTAGTAGATGGTAGTAACGTGTAGTATGTATGTTAGTGTAAATAAACGTCATTTCTCTATCTGTATCTCTTTTTTAAATGTAGTAGTAGTAGTTGGTACTAATGTATTATATATGTTCGTGTAAATGCTTAGAAGGGTTTAGAAGAGGGGTGTAAGCACGACATTTCAGGAGCGATGACACAATCGAGAAAATGCTACCGTTATTACGTCCTCTCTTCCATCAACCTCGCTAGACTCTGCACGTTGGATTATGCAAACGGGTCCTCCTTTGAAGTTGCGACTTACTTGATACAATGATAACGATATTTTTTCTTTTTCTTTCTTTTTTTACTTATATAATTCTATATATATACATATACTTAAGATTAATTCGTTTAGATTAATACATGTTTGATAGAATTCATTAGTTATTACTATACTCGATATTTTACATTTTCAAACTAAAACTTTTAGTTAAATTAAAAAAAAATATTTACTTAGATAAACAAAAAGAAAACAACTCACTTCTTCTTGTTTTGATAATATGTATAAAATGCTAACATTATAAAATATTAGGGGGGGGGGTTTGTAAATAAGAAAAACGACATTATTTTTCGGTCCCCCTAATGTATCTTCAATCAAAAAATATATAGGGTGTCTTATTTTTTTTTTAGCAATACTAGGATCAATTATAAAGAAGACAGTATTACGTATAAATGGGTTCAGTTAATCGGTTTTAACATTGAACGAGATATTTCGAAAATAAAAATAAACTAGAGCACTGAGTAATAAAATAAAATAAACTAAAATAAAACGTGTATTGATGAAATAACTGAGCGCGTCCCTGAGTTATTCGAGAGCACGTGTACCTGACGGGTCCCCCTACCATCACCCCCCTCGGCCCAGTTTCTCGATTTCGTTCGACTCTCGAGGCGATGCTTCCGGCGCTTCGCACTTGTCCGCCACAATTGTTTCCGCCCTAGTTCACGGTTACGTCAGCTCGACATTGTTTCGTTTCGTTATTTTCGTTTTCAGGCCCACCGTAGCATGTCAGTTCTCTCCCTTCTCCTCTACCCCTTTCCTCTCTTCTCCTCCTCCCATCCGACTCTCACAATCTCTCTCTCTCTCTCTATCTTTCTCTCACTCACTCACTCACTCATTTGCTCATTTGTATTACCTGTCTTTCTCTTTCCATTGCGCTTTACGCTCGAGTTAGAACTCGCGATCCGTGCCCTGCTTTTAGAGATTAGCAAAGAAAGATTACCGAGCCAAGCAGACCGATGATTTGTATTTTTCCTAACGAAATTAATTCATTGCAATTTTAAACAGTGCAGTAATAATTTATATAAATAAAAGTTAATCCCAAAAAACAACATAATCCGTTTAATTATTTTTTGAATGAGGGGGAGGGTTAAATTGAATATAATAATTATTGAATTTCACACATGAAACGTGTGAATAATGTGAAGAAAAAAAAATAAAATTAGATAAATAAATGAAATTAGGTATAATCATTTCTATCGAAGAGAAAGAGTAGTGTTATTTTAAATAATTGGTGAAAATAAAAAGAAAAGGAGAAAACAAGAAAATTTTTGAAGAGGATCACATGTATGAAAAGGTTTCTAATCAGTTCTAATCGATCGACAGGTGGCCCCGCGGTTGACACGCATGCTTGGCCAAACGTTTTAACCTCGGCCACGGGAACGGGTCGTGAAAGCGATAGTCGTGCTGGTGTTTTACGAAATCACGGGAAAGAACGACGACGACGACATCGTAGTTTGCGAATAGTGTTCTGCTGGTTTAGAATAGTTGATGGATAGGTGGGAGGAATTAGGAACGAATGAGAAAAACTTGATGCCAATTTGTACGAGCTAATCTCTTTTTCTTTTTTTTTACTCTCTCGTGTATATATATCTATATGTTTTTACTGTTATCATTATATTATATATTTTTGTTTTGCTTCTCTTGATCTCGTGAGAAGAAACTCACCTTGCAGCCCTCGCAGGTGAACGCGCCAAAGTGGAAACCAGCCGCGGGTTCACCGCACACCTTGCATTGCTGATTCATCTGTAACAAAAGAAGAAGAACTTTTATCGTTTGCCATTTCGTTTGAGTTCACGATCCGAGTTCATACACACATACTAATACATATATATGTATATAGGTACGTACATAGGATACATATATGGGCGCGCGTGCACGATTGAATATAAATGTATGTACAAACATTGGAAATTATGAAAGAGTGGACGGATGCTTTTATGCGACTTATTTGTAGAAACTAAGTGTTTATTTTTTCACTTTATTCAAACAACGCCGCTCGGAAGAGCGTGATTCCTTTCGAGTTTAAATCCTTCGAGTACTACACTAAGATATAAATATATATATATATACATACATATATATATCATTCTAACCATAAGACTTTCTAATATTTTTATTTTTCTTTTCCATTTTCTTTTTTTGTTATTTTATTTTTCTTTAATAATAATCGTTCAAGGTAAATATTTATTTCTTTTATTTGTCATTATGTTAATACGTTCTTATTAACGTAGTATCATCGTGACAATATCATTGAAATTTATTTTAAAATAATAATATCAAATAAATAGTACTTTTGTTCCATTCAATTAATTTCATTCGAAATCTATGCTTAGGAAAGAATGAATTTTTTTTTCTAATATCGTTGAGAAGAATTTATCATTGGTTACGTATACAAATCGAACTGACACCGATCATATACGATTGAGAAATAAAAAGTTACTTTATTAATATTCATAGTATATCCCAATTATCTAATGTGATCTAATACACGTAATACTTTATGACAGTTTTATTAAAATTAATGTTCGATTATTGATCGAATATTTTTACGAAGAAAAAAAAGTAAACACAAGTTTCCTTTGCAATTCATTTAGAAATGAATTAATACTTTCTTTTTTTATTTTTTCATATTTGTAATACTTTAAAAGAAAGAAATTTATGAGAATCGATTTTTTTGTAGTGAAAAAAAATTTATGAAATTTTTGTTACACTTCTCGTAATAAAAATTTCATTGGTTAGATTTGCACGTAAATGGAAATAGATATTAGAATAGGCAAAAATTTTAATATCGTTCAAAATTACATATACGAGTTAGATGATTGGGAAATGAGAAGAATCACGATTGCACAATTGTCGGACTTTTAGCGCTTGGCGTGTGCGCCCGCGAATCGCTGAATCGTGGCAAACAGGCGCGTGTTACGTTCAACGAGCGGAAAACTCTTGTGCACGAGAATTTTTTTTCCATTTTTCCCTTTTCTTTTTTTTCTTTTTTTGTTCTACCTCTTCGTTCGCTGACTTCTCATTCGCCTTCTTTGGTTATTCGTCCAGAAAAACTACAAGATAGGGAATGGTCAATTTTTTTTTTCACACCTGGACGATTTTACCTTGATTTAAGATTTATATTAGAAATTTCTAAACAACCTTCCCGCGCTAGATCATTTATTTCTTTTTCTATTTTATTTTTCCCTCTAATTAATTTAATTATTTTACCACTTATCGTTAATAGAACTCGACACATTTCACACCCACCCTTTTATTTTATCTCGTTAATATAATATTTATCTAACTTTCGTTATCTTTCTTATTTTAATTTTTTTCAAATAATTTTTCAACATTTTCAAACTACTCTAAATTTTCGTTATATTCAACGAATATTCTTTATATTCAAAACCTAGAAAAAAATATAATTCTATTATCTCTATTTCCTATTGTAAACTCATTCTTTTGATCTCGAACTATAGTTGGTGTTCCACCATCGGTGTCGGTGTCGGTGTCGGTGTCGGCGTCAGCGTCGGCGGCAGCGGCCGAATGTCAAAAGTTAATATTGTTAAGAAATATGGGACAATAGTGAATGACCCACATACGTGTGTGTTGTCCCGAAGTAATATACGTATCTCATGTTTTTAAAGGTATATATGTAAGGAAGTATAAGTTGGCGAGTACGTAGGTAGAAATATAGATATAGGTAAGCATAATCCTATCTTCTATTCTATATATGTATGCATATGAGTGTATGCGTTTAGGTATTTACGTGAGTTAGCTAGTACGTTACGTTCTTTTCGTTTAGGCTCTTTCGAAGACTTTCATACATGACGGACTGTCGCTAAATGGGAAAGTAAATCTTAGCTAATGGAAGAGACATCGAATGTTTGATCAACGGAGTCTCTCTCTCCTGACCTACACCCTACAGTCGTTGACACTTCTCGTTCGAACTATGTACGTGCGTGTGAGTGTGTGTATGTTAAAAACTGAACGAAGTTGGTTGTTGAGAAGTACAAATTGCGTGCCTACGCTTATACTTTTAATTCCGTCTTCGATTCTTTCACATTTTTTATTTTTTTTTTAAATGTTTTTTACGAAGAGAAAGATCACAAGTTGTAAAAATCACAAAGAGAGGATTCTTCCTCATAGAAACAGAAAACGCGACTTTCATATCGTTGCTATACTAAAATATATATCTTACTTCGGAATACCAGGATACTTCGAAATCATCTCAGATAAATTTATTGATCGTATCGATCCATCGATCGATCATTCCTTTTGCATACATAGTTAAGTATGTGTTGTATAGAAATGTTGTGTTAAGCAAATATGTTACTCAGGTTTCTTCTTCTTCTTGTCTTCTTCCTTTCTATCTATATCTGAAACCCTCTCACCCTTTTCATTTATTGAGATTTTCGTAACGTAACACACTGTGTCACGGACCGTAAACGTTTTCGAGTTCACCATGAAAAACCGATAGTTTATGTGGTAATAATCGTTGTGGTTCGATTCGTTTCAAATCATTCCTCTCAATTCCTTCAGATTTCGATCTGTTTCTAACTTAGTGTTGTACTTTCGATTATACACGCTGTATATATATATTTATTCATTTTTTTTTTATAAGTATTATTATTCTAAATAAAATTACGATCTATCGTAAGAAAATGAAAAAAAATATCGTACAAATAATAGTATTAGATTATTGAAAAAAAGAGAATGAAATTGGAATATATTGAAATTTTATAATATTTCGTCAAATCTAATATAAAAATGAAAACTAGAATAAAAAGAAATCTTATCTAAAGAAATGTTAATTTAATTGAGAGAGTAAAATAGGAAGAAGCCACGAAAAAGAGAAAAATAAAATAAAAAATAATAGATTAAGGTCACTTATGAGATTTTTGTTAGATGATAACAAATATAAATGATATTTCTATCATTTTATACGTATCTAATATAAATTATTAAAATAAATACAAATTTTGTATTGTATCTCGTAGTTTGTATCATGGTTTATATTTATTTTGGATCATAATCAGCAATTGTTAACAACATTTGATCCAACACGATCAAAACAATATGTTCTAATTTTTTTTACTTGTCTAGCTTCCCAAACTTTGGATCATAGTTTGTAAATATTTTATTTAGTGTAAACGAAAAACAACTAATTAAATTAAAACAAATATTTATGTATATCAGATACAAACTAATCATTGTTAACAATAATAATAATAATAAAGTAAAATAAAAAGACAAATACAAAAGAAAAGAAAACGAATGATACAAACGTTTCAATCTTTAGAATTATTGTTAAATTTAAGTGTTGAATATCAAAGTTCTTCTTATTATTCTTCTTATTATTATTACGATAATTTGAAAGTACGTCAAAGAGTTTGAAATCTTCGAAGGATCGATTCTCGGCTTGGTCTCTCGGCCTTCGTTAAAACACGCGCAAAACTCACGGTATAATAAGCGTTCTCGATTATCGTCGCGATCCGTTCTCGAACGAAGACCGACACCGATGATGATGATAATGATAATGATGATGATCATCATCGTCAAGATCATCGAAGGGAAGGGATCATCATCATCATCGACGTTAGTTGAGTTGCGCGATCTTTTGCTTAAGAGAAAGAGAGCCGTGAGAATCGTAGCGACTTCTGGGCTGTCTTATTATAGTCATCTATATCTATATCTATATCTATATCTATATCTATATCTATATGTATATCTATATCTATCTCTCACTCACTCATTCATTCATTCATTCTCTGTTTTTCTCATTCTCATTCTCTTGATCAGCATAACTTAGGATGCTAACGATCAAAGCAAAAATTATTTTCCAACGTTCCAAAGGGAATCATATCGAAGGATGAGATATACCTATACCTTTCGTTTTCCTTTCTCGCGTTGACCTTCTCGATAAAACAGCCCCTCAACACCCTCACTTTTTCTCTCCCTCTCTTTCCATTCTATCTGTTTTTCTCTCTCTCTCTTTTTTTCTTTTTATGTTTCTTCACGTCGACGGAAAGAATCGCGTTGATTGACGATCTCGCAACGCCAAGATTCCTCTGAGGTTCAACGTACCTTCAAAGACTTTTTCTTATTATTCATTTTATTATACACGATAATCATTTAAAAGATCCGGATTCGACTGATATTTAATATATTAACAATTAATTACGATTGAAAATTATCTTTTTAATTTAATTAATTTTTTTTTCATGATTTTAACAACATTCGCTAGATTTTTAAGATTCAAACGTACCTCAAAAGATGTTTGATTTTTTCGTATTATTATACATTTAATTGTTCACGATAATCATAGAAAAGGAAATGGAGAAGATTTGATATTTTATGTTAACAATAATTACGATTGAAAATAATTGTATTAATTAAATTAATTATTGTTCACGATTTTAACAACATTTAGGAGATTCTAAAGGTTCAAACATATCTCAAAAGATTTGTTTTCTTATTATTCTTCTTATTCACTTAATTATTTACTATAATCATAGAAAAAATTTCTATTCGATTGATATTTAATATTAACAATAATTACGATTTAAATTAATCGTATTAATTATTTTTCACGATTTTAACAACATTTGCGAGATTCTTAACATTCAAACGTACCTCAAATGACTTTTTCTTATTCTTCTTCTTATTATTATTCTTCACTTAATTATTCACGATAATCAAATAAAAGATCTGGATTTCACTGATATTTAATATAACAATTAATTACGATTGAAAATAATCGTATTAATTAAATTAATTATTTGTCACGATTTTAACAACATCCGTGAGACTCATATGATAATTATTATCGTAATTGTAGTAGTCATAGTCGTAGTCTATAATAGTTGTCGTAGTCGTTGTCACATAGTCACTCGTCTAGGATTCTAACTTGATGAGAGTGTATTGCACAACACGATCCGGATGAAAGATTCCTTGCTCGTAGTGTAGTATCTTAAAATAAACTTCGAAGTATTCTCGAGTTGAAGAAGATGCGACGAAGTGAGTGAGTGAGTGAGTGAGTGAGTGAGTGACTCTCGCTTTAATCACAGTGGTCAAAGGTTGTTGTAATAGTAAAAAAAGACGTAAAAAATAAGAAAAGGAGAGAAAGAGAGAGAGAGAGAGAGGGAGAGAGAGAAGGGATAAATAGAAAGAGGGAGAAAGTACATAAACAAGATGTTCCCTTTAGCAACCCTCGAAGAAAATATTTGTCGTCTTATTTTCACAATATTTTTTTACGACTCTATCCCCACCAAAATTTTTCTATTATTTTCTCAGAAGAACTTTTTTACCGAATAGATCTAAAAAAGTAAAAATAACCGTTTCACAAAATGTTCGGAGAAAGTTCAGTTAATAAAAAAGAAATAGATAAAACTGCACGATACGATTAGTTTTTTAAGTCAAGGGTATTTCCAGTTAAGTATTACGGAACAACCTTTATTTTTTATGATCTCTAGATAAGTTGGTTAAAAAACTATACAAAAGAAAAAGAAGGAAAATACTTTCATTTCGTGAGTTATGTGTCGTCAACTTGGACTTTTTTATACGATGTTCCTTTATTTTTTAACTGCAACATGGTGAGAGGGTGTTGAAAACAAAAAGAAAAGAAAGGAAAGGAAGAAAGGAAGAAATGTTTCGTCCAAGTTTTTTAGTACGATGTTTTTTAGTGAGATATTTTTTACTAGTTCGTTCCGGTAACAGAATGGGTAAAAAGAAAGCCTTAAAAAAGTAGAGAAATGGGAGAGAACAAAACATTTTTCCGAAACATGGAAGATACTTTCTTGTCCCGTAAAAAAGTCGACTTTTTTAAATTCTTTTCCCGTAAAAAAGTCGACTTTTTTATATTTTCTCCCTTAAAAAAGTCCATCTTCCCCCAGGGTTTTTTTTATTCTACTAAACGACTATTATACACACACACAAAAAGAAAATCAAGTTATATTTTATCCGATTCTTTTTTTCTAACCTTGTCCATTGTATCGGGTCACATATTTTCTTTTGATTTTTTATTTTATTTTACGTCTTTTTCTTACTCTTTTAGCTAACGTAAGTTCTACTAAAAAACAGGTTGGTTTCATCAAGGTGATTTTTGACTTCATCAGGGACACTTTTTTTTTTGTAATAGTAAAGAATGAAAGTGCAGTTGCACAGAGCATACAAAAGTTGCCGACGGATAACGTTAATACCTCTAACATGATTCTAATGATAAATCTATTCTAATCTCATACATACACAAATTAATTTGTATAAGAAAAAAAAAACCGTTCTCTCGTGTTAAAAAATTTTCATCAAACGTTATTTTTTTATCAAACGAATAATAAAATGTTAAACACATAGGATTTATCTATCGTGTAAAATACAATGTTCGAATTAATGATAATTACTAACGTACGATTCTCGTAATACATAATATGATGATGATGATATCATAATATCTCATCTTCTTAAAACGGTGCGCGATCCAGTTCGCGGAGAGCAACTTCCGGTCTTTCGTAAAATGAAAGAAAACTAACCCATAAGAAGAGGAACGTAATGCAACGTTCCGCAACGCGTGATCCCGCAAACGGCCTTCGGCATCACAAAACGATGCACTACCGATATATATTCCCAACTTGCCGCCTCGTCGAATCGTATTATTAATTCTACCTTATCTTAAACTCGTATTCTACACGATGATCCGATATGCTCGATTAGAATCGTCAAGGAAACATTTTTATTTATTACGTGTATAACAATTATTGTTATTATTATTATTATGAAAAGTAATATTAAAATACGTTTATTTTATGATTTATATTCGATAGTCGAATTATATCATTAAATTCATCGTTATTTCTCTTATTATCATAATTACTCATAGAAATTCCGTATAGGATTATACGTATTACGTTTATCTACGAGTTTAGAATTATCTACTAATTTTTTTTTTTAAACGTATCATTAACCTATCACACAAATATTGAATTGTTTAGGAATATTTTACTTGCCAATTTATAAATAAGTAAATATATTTTTTTTTATTTCTAAATCAACACGCGAATTATTTCCAATTATTCGCAACATGCAAGATAATCAAATCTTATATAATAGTTGTTAATATAATATTATTTATAATGTTTAATAGAAAATTTAAACACGAATCTCTATTGATACTATTCATTTTCAACTACATTAGTTTAAAATTAGAATCTAATAGATAATCAAGAAAGTATGTTAGAGTAGTTATGATTTAAAGTTTCTGAAGAATCTTCGTACTTCGTTCGTATATTTTATACCATAAATGAAGAATGCGTTATTAAATAAAAAGAAAAAGAGATAGAGAGAGATATGAAAAAAGGGATAGAAAGAAGCGTTAGAATATAAATGTTCTCATCGTCCGTTTCCCCGTCGTAATAATATCTCGCTTCTATTCACAATCAGAACGGTGAGAATATCATACGCTTTCGATATCATTAAGATCATCGATAGATAAGAATCTACTCGATGTCTAGCGAATTAACTAATTGCTCCGATCCCCGGTGAGTTGAACTATCTGACTAACGAACAGATAGAGATAGATATAGAAATAAGATAGATAGATAGATAGATAGATAGATAGATAGAATGACTTAAAGGTCTCTTATCGGGCTCGTTACTTCGAGAACGTAATAACGTTTGAAATCCTGTCGAACCGTGACGACTTTCCTCCACCCTCCCCTCCCTCCCATAGATTGTCACGATCTAAGAAGATGAAGATGAAAAATAACGAAGACAAAGACTTCATCTTTGTCATTAGTCGTAGTAGTCGTTTGGCACGTCAACGACAAGTGCAAGTAGATGCACCTCGTACGAAGAATTACTAAATCTATCGTCACCTCTTTCTTTTTCTTTACCTTCCATCCCCTTTTCGATCGAGATCGTAGGAGTTGCATTCTAGGTTTTACACTATTACAATCAAACAACAAACTAATCAACCAATAATTCTACTTGCTGCATGCCACATAAATACCCGTCTTCATTCTTTACACTTTTTTTTTCCCCTTGTCTATTTTCTTCTTTTTTTTTTACATTCGATCAAAAGAAACGCACATTCTCCGCCTCCGCGTAGATTAATTAAATGTCAGGGCACGCTTGTTGTGTTATACAATGTCGTTCGCGAAGTTAAACACGAGATTATACCGTACCGATGTGCACGAAATTACGAATTCTTAACGTTTTACCTATATACATACATAATATACATACATACATATTATATGTATATATCTTTCTCTCTTTCTCTTTTACTAAAGAATTTCCTCATTCGACACGTACCTTGAAGAGCTTTGCGATGATTAATAGATCATCGATGTTGATGACATTCGATTTGCGTCCTTGTTTCATTCGAGTTTGTAACACTTTTTCATAAAGGATGATATTCCCATAGTCCTTCTTCTTCTCTTAATTCTTATCCTCCTCTTCTCTTTGTTGTTCTATTTTTTCTCTCTTCTTATACACTGCATATATCTTCTTCTATCTCACTTTCAAAAAAAAATCTATTAAAAGATGGGTGGACAAAAATTAGCACAGATTTAACTAAAAAGTCGAGTCACTTTGAGTAAAAAAATGTAAGAAAAAAATAACCAAAACTGGTGAGAGAGAAAAAAAATTTCTGTGAGAGCGAGAGAGAAAAATTTTAAACACACTGTCTTAAAAACTTTATCGTCCTTTCGATATCCAATGAAAAAAAAAATAATAACTCACTGTTATATCAACTGATAAATTCGCACGTGACGAAAGATTCGCGTAACACCACCGTTGTTGTTTATTTGTTTGTAATCCGTCGTGTTATTGGAATGTACGGAGGAAAAAAAGGTGAGTGGAAAAAAAAGGAAATGAATAAAAAAAGGAACAAAAATTAAAAATTGAATTTCCAGTTGAAGGTGTTATGATTGGGATATTGGATTAAATAAGATAGACAAAAATATAAATAAACACACAAATGACGAATAAACGATATTAACAAACAACGAGAGAACAAGTAGATAGATGATACTTGATCCGACGATGACCGTTAGGTGAATGACTTTGGATGGTAAGGGTGTCCACGTAGATTCTTGAATCGACCCCCACCACCAATGATTTTCTTTTGATCCCACTCTTTCGTTCGATCGTTCGTTTATTCGTTCGTTAGTTTGTAAGTTCTTTCGTAAATACGTACGTACGTTTGCTTTACTACTCGCTTACTATACGATAGCGCGCGCGTTTCTCGTAAGTATAGCTCGGAAGGGGCCTTATGGACACACTGTGTGCTGAGTCGGAGAAGCGTGCAGGGTCCATCCGCTCGGCGAGCACAGGTGGTGGGCTGCAGGACCTCTCTCGGATGCAATGGTGGGGGTAACTTCACACTGGAGGGATTCTATCTTTTAGTTAGGAGAAGGGATAGAAGGGAGGGGCTTCGCTACTTCTCTCCCTACTCTCTTTCTCTCACCTTCCCTTCTTCTTCTTATTCTTTTTTTTTATATCATTCTTTTTTCAAACACATATACATATATATATTACATCGTAATTTTATTTGATGTTATTTTCTTTTTTTTTTATAAACAACTATTATAATTTTTTATATTTATTTAATCCAATTAATTATTTATTTATAATAATACGTAATATAATTTTATTTTTTAAATTAACAAAAATTGAATAAATATCACACACTTGTATATATCTTTTTTTATTATTGTTTGTATAGTATTTGTCTGTTCAATCGGTTGATATATTTCGTAATAAAATTGTTAACGATAGTTCGAGGAAAAACATGATTAGTGTATTATATAGGAAAACGAAGTAACTATCCATAAGTAAGTTCATGTCCTCTCGATGAAATTGGTTTCTCGCTTCTACTTACTTAGTTGGAGAATAATTTCATGGGTGTACGTTTTGGTAAGACGGAACGTGGGAAAGTCTCATACGCTGGCAAGCATTACGCTTGACCTCCATACGCTACGGAATGACTTGCCTAAGGTCCTTTTATGTAACGTGATGCGTTTCTTAGTCTTCGTTTCTTCTTCCATTTCTTCTTTTTCTCTTATCGTCTATTTATCGTTATAGTCAAATCGATTTGATTCTTTGTAAAACAAAACAAAAAATAGAAAAATTCCTTATAATAAACTTTTGGACTGATTTTTATTTATTCGAAATATCATATAATGATATGTAGAATTTGTATTCCCAAGAAAAACACACACATATACACAAAAACACGCTTAAACGATAAGTTAACTGATTCTTTCGTAAGAATACGTTGAGTTGGTCAGTACATTAAAAGTCATTCTTGGTAATGTGTAGCTGATAGGATTCTTTTCATCGACCTTTTTCATACGTTTCTACAAAACGAAAACGCCTAATTACACTGATACCGGGCCACATTTTATCACGAAATTTTCGAACTATGTCGATTTCCTCTCTTTTCCATCATATGAAATTTATCGATAAGATAATCTAATTGTAATGTATCTCTTTATCCTAATATTCTCGTTCGTATCATTACCAAACACAAATAGTTTTCAGATGATTTATTTCACAATAATATCGTTATAATTTATTTTAAATGACCCTTAATATCTATTTTATCATTAATGGAAAAAATGTTTACTTATAGACGAAATTTCGAAAAATTTGTTGTACAATGATATATATATATATATCAGTTCATCGAATCAACCAATATTGAAAGTTTCTTTTTCAATTATAATTCAATTAAATATTATCAAAAGAAAGAAAGAAAGACAAAAAAAGTGAAACGCAATACATTTGTTCATTTTTTTATTTTCTTGGAACAAGGTTATGGAAAAGGGGGAAAGGGGGTTAGGGAAGAGGATAAAGAAATTATCGTAAATTTTAATAAAAATTTTATTCTTTATCTGTTTTACATACATATATATAATATATGATAATATTAATGTAATTGACATACATATTAAATATGTATATTGTAGAGTATAATTTTGAACAAGTAATATTTCGGTATTATAATACAACGATATTATTATCTCGAAGTTTAGAAATGTGCTGATAGAAAAAAAAAATGTCCTTAGGCTTTAAGGCGGGATAATTAGCAACGAAACGTCGTCCCAAGGAAGACGAGTAAGTTTCATTGCGATTTTGGCCTCAGGCGGTAAAGCAGTAATTAACTAAATGTTGCTATTAAAAACGATAATCGACTTACTATTCTACGTTTCTACATTTATTTTATTTTATTTTTTTATTCCACTCGACTATAATCTTTTTGAGAATAATATTGTCATTTTAGTCGAAAAAAACAAAAACATGAACGAGTGAGATAGAAGGGGTGAAGGAAAGGGGGTGTGGGAGGAAGAAACGAGATGGAAGAAAAAACCAAAGTAAATTTTAATGTATTTCAATCAAATTTCTTTATTATCTTTCATTCCCTCTAGGCTTTTTAAAATATAAATATCAATTAATATAAATCAAGCATTAACAAATATCGTTTTCTTAATGAGATAATTAGAAGATATGGGTTTACAATAAATTGATAAATATCAATGTGTTTTAATCAAATTTCTTCATTATCATTCTTGATTTTTATTCTTCTCTCTCTATTTTTTTTGAATAATATCGTATAAAATAAATCAAGTTTTAAACAAATATCGTTTCTTGTTAAACGAGATAATTTGAATGATATAAGTTTGAAATAAAAATCGATTTAACAAGAAAAAACATAAGTTAATTCGATTGTCGGCAAAATATTAACGGTAATTTCTTGTTTGGGCAGCTTCAAAATAAAAAAAAGAATAGAAATGTCGTCTCCTATGGTTTCGTATTAAACGAAGAGAGAATAAAAATAAAGGAAAGGATGACAGTTAGAAAGTGCAGTTTGGATTAATAGTCGAGCTATTCTTTTGCTAGAAAAGCAAAAGAAAAGAAAAAAGAAAGTAAGAAAAAAAATGATGAAAAAGTTTTCTCAAAGAATATCATTTAAAGGGTTTTCTTTAACGAAATATTAATAGACTATGACCCTTTTTTCAAGAATTCGTGTTTTCTGTTTTTTACCTGAGAAATTCAATTGTGTTATGTTATAGAATTTATAGTATTTTCAGAAAACAGAAAAAAAAAAGAAAACTAACGCAAAAGTGACTTTTTTACGAAACTAAAAGACATATAAAAAAGTTCAATATCAGTGAGACATGTTCCTTTTTTAGGGTAATACATTTTTTATTGCTTTTCTTTATCGCCGTTGTTTTTAAACAATACCGTTCGAACGATCTTGCCGATGTTATGTTATTTTTCTTTCGATAAAAAACTGTTGGCTGCTATAAAAAACAAAAATTGTATAAAGAACATCTTCCTTATTCTCATTTTTCCCTTTGAAAGTTCAATGTAAAAAAATAGGAAACAACTCTTAGGTCTATATAATCAGGTAAGAAAAGAAAAAAAAAGGTTAATAAAAATACAATAAAAAGATATAAAGAGAAAATATATATATAGATTCAACTCGATATCGAGAATAGGATAATAAAACGAATGCGTAGTTTGGTATCATTATGGTGACATAGCATAGCAATTAATGGGACATTAACGTTAATGAAATCTAAGCACTGGCTCAGATATACGAAACCATCATTAGCTTAGAAAACCATAAGATTTACACGTGTATTAGGAAACTTCCATTCTACCATTCTTTTTCTAAAACTTTTTAATTACATATAAATATTTTCATATTTCTAATATTTTTTCTATATCCAATTTCAAAGAAAAGTGTTTACGATTGTTCTATCCCTTTGCAAAAGTTTGACCTTACGAAATGTGGACCTTTTTTAACATGCAATATACTTAAACTTAAACATACATACATACACACACATATGGTAGTTAGAGAAACGAAATAGAAAGAAAATTTCAAACTCGATTTGCACACTTAGCAAGAACAACGACAAAAAAAAAGAAAAAAAAGAGTGGGGGATGAGGAAAGGGGGAAGGGGGTTAGATATACTACCTTCGTCGGTAATTACGTTCGGCTTCGATGAAAAGTAATTTCGCGATCCGTTCCATCCTGACCTTTCTTCAACTTTGTTGGTAGGCCATGCGTCGCTCGATACCAATCATTTTTCTAACGATGGGACTCTCTTCTGTAAGATAGATTGCATGAAAGTAAATCGATGATGTTTGAGGGGGGTTTTCTTTCTACTAGCACGCGACGATGTTTTAAATCGTTAATATCGTTCTCGTACCGCTAGGTGTCGCCACCAGTATCATCCACGATTATCCTGTAGAATCCTTAAATCCGATGATAAATATCCTTCGATACATTTTTAATTGTTAAACTAATATTTTTTTAATGAATATAATATATTAATATTATTCATGAAGATTCTGAAAAATCCTTTAATTTGACCACAACCTCAACCCCCTTCTTCATCCAACCATTGGTTGTTATTGTTCAATACATTTTTTAACGTTAAATTAAT